CCAACCTAGTAGTGATGGCCTCCAATCTAATAGCGATGGCCTCCAACTAATAAGAAAGATCCTGCCGACCTTCATATGCCGGGTGCGTCCAGGCGCCGGGCTGCCCACTGAAGTACCAGAAACCTGGCACTCTAAGAGCCGCTGCGCTTGACCAGAGAAAGTCCAACAAAAGCTGAATGAATCAAGGGTTTGGCCCTTATATGCCTTACCTGAGAAGGGAGGCGACGAAAGCCAGCCTCTGGGTTAGGGGGGTGCCCTTAGACCAAGCCTGGCGTTTGCTCGCTGTTATTCATGTCCTGTAGATGGACTCCAAGACTTGGCGCGCAAGATGAAGTGATTGGCTAACATTGGGCAAGGAGTACTTTTATGGGGTGAAGTTGACATCGCAGCCACCCTGATAGGGGGTAGAAACAGAAAGTAGAATACGTAGGTTTGGAGGAGGGTTTTTTTCGTCCTGGTTCAGGGGCGTTTTGGAGGTGAAGGGGCGCTTGCGTGCGGCGTTGCCAATCATTGAGCAACAACCATGGGTGTGGGCCATGGGCGAGGCTATGGGCAGGCATTGGTGAGGATTCATATATGTATATAGGTAGAGTTGATTGACAAAGAGTAGCCGGAAGTGGTGAAGTGGATATTGCAGCCACTTGAGCGCGCAATATGAAGTGATTGGCTAACATTCGGCAAAGGGTACTTTTATGGGGTGAAGTTGGCATCGCAGCCACCCTGATAGGGGGTAGAAACAGAAAGTAGAATACATAAGTTTGGAGAGGGTGGTTTTTTGTCCTGGTTCAGGGTCGTTTTGGAGGTGAAAATCCGGCGCCCGTAAGGAAGTCAGGCCCGCTTGCCTGCGGCGTGTTGCTAATCAGTGAGCAAAGATGGCTGCGGGGGGGGCCATGGGCGAGGCTATGACCCGATAGGGGGTGGAAACAGAAGGTAAAGTAATAGGTTTGGGGGGTCCTATATGCGTTTGCCTACTGCGTTGCTAGCCAGTGAGCAAAGATGGTTGTGGGGGGCCTATGGGCGAGGCTATCGGCAGGCTTTCGTGAAAATACATACATACATACAAATATATATATATATACATATATATATATACATACGAAATAAAGGAAAGTGGACAAAGAGTAGCCGGAAGTGGCGAAGTTGCTATTGCCGTCATTGAGCAAGAGTAGAAATAGACGGGGGTGCCCTTTTTTGTCTTGATGTCGAGGTGTTGTGGAGGTGAAAAACGGCACCCCTGTAGTCCGGGAAGGCTTGGTATGGTGTGTTGGTCTATGTTTCAAGTGAGTTGATACCACCAACCAGCCCATTTTTGACCTCGAGCCACGCCTAATCGAACACTAGTTCAATAGCCACCAAAACGAACATCTCCCTTTTCTGGAGGAGTCCCAACCACTTTTCGCGGTTGTCCCCGCTTTCCTGGTAGAAGATGGCTTACATTGTCTCCTGAGCCCTCATGATGCTAATGATGCACTACTCGCCGTCAATTACATCACTTGCATCACAACACCCCAAAAGCCCCACCAGGCTCTGGGTCAGCCTCTTCGAACCTGCCCCTCTGGCGACCAACCCCCCCCACACCCCTTTTCTCACTTCGTTCGCTCCCCTAGGCTCCAGCCTAGCCTATCGGCTGGCTTTCGTGATATACCTTGCATCCGTGTACGACTCGCGTGAGCAGAGAAAGAAAGAATAAGAAAGATGTTTGGCTCTCTGGGGCGTTTCCGGAAATTTGACACATTGGCTTTTGCGTGGAGAAGTCTGATAGCAACAATCAGCCAAGACGTGCTACATGGGAAGTCAGGTGCTCGCGTCTCTGCTCGCAACTGTCGCATCCTTAGCCTGGACAAGAGGCCCTCTCGGAAGAGTCTTTCTTTATTACTAGAGAAATTCAAGTGTCCTTTTCAAATAGTGTGTGTGTAACCCTTGTAGTCACAGGGATCCTTTTGGATTGTTTGTTTCCTTTT